ATTATGGTAAGGGGCGTTACATTTCTGACGCGTGCTTGTGGTGTTCGGCCAATCATAATGCACTGGGTCAGCTGGCCAATCAGAGCGGACTGCGCTTGTCAAAGGAGGGGGCTTTGTAGAAAACGAAGCGTTTGAGAGAGGCGGGGCATAGAGGACCTACAATAATGTACAGTATTTGAAAAATAATGTGTTTTTTGAACATTAAAGCATGTCAACATATTCTGTTACACCAAATACACAAAATAATGATCTTTAAAAAAGCATCATATGACCCCTTTAATAATGTTCTCAAAAAATAGTTTATATACATCGTTTTATTTCTGAAACATTTTAGTTGGATGTTCGTCCAACGTTTTTAAAATGTTATTATGTTATAGTCCAGAGAACATTTTAAAATAACATTGCCATAATGTTTGCATGTTCCCTTAATGTTCATATAACCACAGAAAAACCATTTTAAAATGTTTCAGGAACTGGACGTTTTTAAATGTTCAGAGAACTTTCAAAAGTAGCGTTCCCATAATGTTTACAAAATTATGAAATGGAATGTACTCTTAAAGTTGGCATTAAAAAATGTAGAACATTTAAATAAAGTGGACATTTTGAATGTTCAGGGAACGTTCAGAAGGAACATTTTCATAACTTAATGGGAACATTGGCACAACATTCTTAAAACATATTTTTGTTAGCTTTGATTATGATATTACAGTTTCCATACCGTGATACTTCAAGGGTTTTAGTGTCATTCAAATGCAAAACACCATTGTCCTTGTACGTGAAAAGTTGTTGTAGTTGGGATTTGACCCAGCAGAAATTACATTTTGAATCATGTGCCTGATGAATCGGTTCCCAGTTGGCTTGTCAGTGGCTTTGGCTGAAGCGTTCAGTGAAGAACATTCTGATCTCTCCTCAGAAAAACATACATCATCTTACAAGTCAGCTTTGGAAGATATATGCGAAAACGTTAATTAGCACTTGAGTAATTTGTGTATTTAACGGTATCAGAGAAAAATTAATGACAAGACAAACTGATGAGGTAATTTAAGGAGATTAGTTGCGAGCTTGCCAGTACAGCTCCTTACAGACTGTTTCCGTGAGGGTTCACAGAGACAAATCTCGCTGTCTGACCTGCGGGAGAGGCTGGCGTCCACATGCTTGGCACAGGCGAGGATTGGCAGAATGTGGAGTAGATGGCAGCAGGTGGTGCAGATGACCGAGTCGCCACCTTCGGTTGGATGATTTGCCATGTTTGGGAATAAGTTCTGGAGGGTTAAGACTTACAGAGTCAAAGGGCCTTCGGTCAAACTGGGAACCTCAGTGAAACTCAATGATTTCTCCATAAATACTGCATTTTATTGTGTGAAATTTAGTTTATATTTTGGACATTAATATCCCAGCTAAAAACTTTTGGTTGCCAGAATGTTCTGGTAACGTTAGTTTGTGGTTATAAAACCTAAAAATAGCCAATAGGGAATTTTGTGTGTAGGTTCCCTTTAGGTTGTCACACAAAAAAAAAACTTTCTAGAATGATTATCTTTTGGTTACAAAACAAAGAACCAACAGAGAACGTTCTCAGAACGTTCTTATTTGGTTCCCAAAAATTAACCAAATGGGAATGTTAGGGGAATGTTCTGTGTTTGCTGAGATATCAAAGTTCCATCTCCAATGCAAATAAAATATCTTAATCTGTATTTTGGTCCAGTTTTTCAGTAAAAATATATATTAAACATAGTCTACCCAAAAATGAAAATTCTGTCATTATTCACCCTCCTGTCGCTCCAAACCTGCATGACTTTCTTTCATTTGTGGAAAACTAAAGAAGACATTTTGAAGAATGTTGGTAACCAAACAGCTTTGGTCCCCATTGACCTTCATTGCATTTTTTGTTCATATAATGGAAGTCAATGGGAACCGAAACTGTTTGGTCACCAACATTCTTCAAAATACTAACTAAGAAAGTCATACAGGTTTGAACGACATAAGGGTGAATAATTCATAATTTAAAAATAATTTATTTTTGGGTGGACTATCCCTTTGACAAGCTTAAAATACAAAAAATGAATGAATAAATAAATAAATAAAAAATAGTAGTAGTAGTAGGCCTAGTAGTAGTAGTAGTAGTAGTAGTAATGAAATAAAATAAATTATTAGGTATATTTGCGTGACACCAGAGTACTTTATTTATTTAGGTCTGTGATGATTTTAAGAGTTTTCTTCCATCTTGTGACTTGGATTCTTGAATTCAAACAGAGAAATTGGAAGTGTTACTAATTTACATGCTTTTTTTTCTAACCTAGTTTGTTTAACACCTTTTCTTTGATCACATTAGGTTTTGTCTGCATCCATATTAAGTTTAAATTTAGTGATTTGGGAAAGATCTACGTTATGTAATTGGGTGGATGTGGTTTCTTGTTGGCAGCAGATGGCCGGTGCTGTCATGAACAGATGGGGGACCACACGGATCACAGAGGGACGTGTTGTGTTTTTATTTCTGAACAGTCAAAACATAATTTTTATGACACTTTACCTGAACCCCTGATGCTGGCGACTCTTTAAATAAATTCATAATAGATTAATAGATTTTTTTTTTGTCTTAACTTGAAAAAACATTATATATGATTAAAACATGTCAAAATACCAAAAAAGCTCAAGTTCTGTCTTTAAATAAAACAATTATTAAATATTAGCTGTATTAAAATCTGTTAAATTAATATGTTATTAATATATATATATATATTTATTATGCATGTGTTCGCCCTTAAATTTGTTTAGTGTGCTTTTCTTTGAAATATTTTCGTGAGGCGAGAAGATTTGGAAGTACAAAAACTGGGATATTAGTTTTAACCTCGTCCTCCCCAGCTAACAGGAAACGTTCTCAGAACGTTCTGGCAAAGTTATGAACAAACGTTCTTCGAGTAACTTCAGCGTTATCTGTAATGTTCTCAAAATATTAGCACAAAAACGTTTATACGTTGTTCATGGAACGTTTTTTACTAAAACGTTTTAGTTGGGCGTTTGTATGACGTTTTTTGAATGTTACTTGTTTCAGAACGTTCAGAGAACATTCAATAGTAACGTTCTTATAATGTTTTCAAAATGATAAAACTGGATGTTCCCTTAACATTCGTATAACCAGAAATATTTTCAGAACGTTTCAATATCATTTCGCAAACATTATAGGAACGTTACTGTTGAATGTTCTCTGAACGTTTGAAAAGTAATTATTTTCTGATTGTTTTCTGAACGCTCGACATGTCTGGCTTTTTAAATGTTTTGAAAATGTTTTTCCCTGTCATGCAGACATTAAGGGAACATTCAGTTTTGAGTGTTCGGAGAACATTCAGGAACATTCAATAGTAATGTTTCCATAATGTTTGCAAAATGATGAATGTTCCCTTAATGTTTGAACATTTAAAAAAATGGATGTTTTGAGCTTTCAGAGAACTTCCAATTGTAATGTTCTTGTATAAAGTTTGCAAAATGAAAACTGAATAGAATTGAATGTTCCTTTAACGTTCACATAACCAGGAAAAAAAGTTTTTAAAACATTTTTTAAAAACTGGACATTCTGAGAACGTTCCGAAAATAACGTTTTCATAACTTACATTTTTATGTAGGTTTTCATAAATTGCGTTTTTAAAAACTTGAAAGTTGGAACTGCCCCACTTTATAGAACAGCCTTTGAGCCACAGACCCATTGTAGGCTACTCTGCAGGTTCAGGAAACAGTCCTCCATAATATGCGTCACACACTGCGGGCTAGAGTGAGGAACGGCCGGCGGATTTGACGAAGGAGCGTCCGGCGGGCTTGCGGCAACCACATGTGACGACCCCGGGCTGGACTCCGCTTCGTCCACGGTGAAATTTCGCTTTCACAACGAAGCACACAGCGTCTTTACGACATGGCGGCGGAAACAACAAAACTACATCGAGAATAAAAGTTACGTCTTCTTTCTTTGCGTGAACATTTGGGCGGTGTTATGCAAATCTTCCCACATCGTGACGTAGACATGTGGGGGCGTGTTTAAACGAGGCGTTTTAGGGGGGCGTGGACAAGTCTTAACTTTTATAAAGAATATCTCTTTGGATTTGAGACTTTAGTCTTTGCAACTTTACAGATCTTCTTTATGCCCCAAGAGCTTGTAACACTCCAAAGAGAAAGGAAAAATTGAAATCGCATCATATGACCCCTTTAAACCACTTTTTGTTTTTATAGCAATGTGTGCAATTATTATAAAAACAGTAACTTTGTGAACAGTGTGTTTATGATGATTTTTTTTTTGATGATTCATTAGAAGGGATGACTAAAAAACTAATTTGTTTGTGAACTAGACTACACTGGTCGCCCTGTGTGTTTTTAATGTGCTTCACTAAAAAGAATCGGTTTAAATGACTCCTTTTTTTGTGAATCGTACTACACTGATTGCAGTGTGTTTGATTCACTAAAAAGAATCGGTTTAAAAGAGTCATGTTTGTAAATCATACTATGCTGGCTGCAGTGTATGTATTTGATTCACTAAAAAGAACCACTTAAAATGACTCATATTTTTATGAATAATTGTACACTGTTTATGCTGTATATTTTGATTCACAAAAAAAAAAGGTTTAAAAGTGTTATTTATTCATCAGTCAGACTACACTGGTTAAACTGTATGTTTTTGACTCAGTAAAAAGAACCAGTTTAAATGACTCGCATTATGTGAATCACTGCAGACAGCTTGTGCTGTATCTTTTGATTGATTTAAAAGAACCGGTTTAAATGACCAATTTTTGTGAATCAGACTACACTGATTACACTGTACATTTTGATTCACTAAAAAGAACCGGTTTAACAGAGTTATTTGTTCGTCAATCGGACTACACTGATTGCTCAGTATGTTTTTGATTCATAACCGGTTTAAATGACTCATTCTTTGTGAATCGCACCAGACTGATTGTGCTGTATAAACTAATTCACTAAAACAGTTTAAATTAATACTTTTTTTGTGAATTGGATTACTTGGGGTGCAGTGTATGTTTTTGATTCGCTAAAAAGAACCGTTTTAAAAGAGTATTTGTGACTCTGGTCTTAAGTCGCTGGGGTATATTTGTAGCAAAATTATTCAAAATTATCGATTTTTCTTTTATGCCAAACATCATTAGGACATTAAGTAAAGATCATGCTCCATGAAGATATTTTGTAAATTTCCTACTGTAAATATATCAAAACTTAATTTTTGATTAGTAATATGCATTGCTAAGAACTTCATTTGGACAACTTTAAAGGCAATTTTCTCAATATTTTGATTTTTTTGCACCTTCAGATTCCAGATTTTCAAATAGTTGCATCTCGTATTATAGTTGACAAGATGATTCAGTCATCAGACTCAAAATCATCTCTCTCTATTCCTCTATTTAAAATATCTGTGTATTCTGATAAAACAATGCAAGTAAATTTACACTACAAATATATTAGATATTATATTAAATATTATATGCAGTGTGTGATTTGTGACCCTGGAGCACAAAACCAGTCTTAAGTCGCTTGGGTATATTTGTAGCAATAGCCAAAAATACATTGTATGGGTCAAAATGATTGATTTTTCTTTTATGCCAAAAATCATTAGGATACTAAGTAAAGATCATGTTCCATAAATATATTTTGTAAATTTCGTACAGTAAATATATTAAAACTTAATTTTTGATTAGTAATATGCATTGCTAAGAACTTCATTTTGACAACTTTAAAGGCGATTTTCTCAGTATTTTGATTTTTTTGCACCCTCAGATTCCAGATTTTCAAATAGTTGTATCTCGGCCAAATATTGTCCGATCCTAACAAACCATACATCAATGGAAAGCTTATTTATTCAGCTTTCAGATGATGTATAAATCTCAATTTCGAAAAATTGACCCTTATGACTGGTTTTGTGCTCCAGGGTCACATTTGTTCATGAAACAAAGAGACTTGTGTTATTGCCATTATTTTGCAATACATTGTCTTTTTAATGAAAATATTCAGTCACTGTTGCTCAATGTTTTTAACCCAGTTATGTAAAATAGAGTGTGTCTAGTTTTACTTTACTGTAGTTTTTACTTTACTATTTAACTTTACTGTAAAGTTAAGTCTGTAGTCCACACATTTTTTTCCGCAACCCAGAGTCCGAGTCACCTGACTGACACCAGACGAATGTGTCCGTTTGTTGAGCTGTGTTATTGTTGAGGCCGTCCCGCTAAGAACCAGCGCTGTATGAACCGCTCACTCACTGCCATCTCCTCTGTCCATCAAACGCTCATGAGGCTTAATAATTCATGCTTTGATCTGGGATGTGAATTAAAGACGTCAGGAGTGCTGACAGATCACTTCCTCTCGGTCTCCGCAGGTCACGTCCAGGTTAACACTTACCCGCTTAGACTGATCTGGGTCCAGCCGTCCTTACAAAGTATTGTGATATCTTACTTCACAATACTCCATATGCAATATTTTTATTGAAATACCAATACTTTACAGTAAAATATTCAGTAGTTTTTATTTTTGGAAGTATATGATTCAATGACTCGCTCACTTATTTATTTTTTTCTGAGAAACTGATTCACTGAAGAAAAAAAGAAAGATTCACTGACTTACATTTATGAAGGCAGGCACTTGTTTGTTGCTGTATGAATCATTGCTTTCAAACGAATCAGTTGGAATGATTCAGTGACTCCCTCATAAAGACTCCCTTGTTTAATTTCTAAATGAATTGGTTGACTGAATGATTCAGTGACTCATGTGTAAATACAGTCACTTCTTGTTTCATTCCAAAAAGATGCAATGTTTTTATTAGAATAAATCTGAAAAAAACCCCACTAAAATCTGAAGTAACTGTTATTTAATTATTTTCTTATTATGGTCGATAACTGATTAACTGATAAAGATATTTAAATTATATACTAAGAATTAAAAAATTACATTTACATTTATTCTTTTAGAAAATGCTTTTATAAAAATAAATAATATAGATTTTTGATATTGGGGTTTTAGTATAAAATATTAAAATTCACTTTTTTTCAATATACAACTTTTTATATAAATTTTAAATTGAGTATTTAAAATTTAATATAAAACGTTAATTTGCATTTTAATCATTTTAAAATTAATGTAATATTTTTACATTAATGTAATAATAAAAGTACATAATATTTTTACACTGAAATATTTAAAATTATGTAATTTTATTAATTAATTAATAATAAAAGTACTTGCATGTTATAACTTCTTAGGGTTCTTTAAATATAAAAAGCATTACTAAATGTTAATATGATCAAATATTGTTCCACTGGTTTAAAACTTTTTGAATAGATTTTAAATTGTGTATTTTTTATGAATTTAATAAAGTTTTTATAAAGTTAATCATTTTAATATTTAATCATTATATTAAAAAAAAAAACTCATATATTCATGCAATAATTTTTTTTATATATAATGTATATTTTTAAATATTTTATATTGTTATAATATAAATATATATATATTAGGGATATGCTGGTATCAAATTTTCATGTTGCGATTAATTGCTAATGCTTTTATTACAGCAATTAATCGCAACATGAAAATTTGATACCGGCATATCCCTACTCGAGACTTTATGGCAGGTTTTTTCCCCATCCCAGTGCAACTCGTGTTTTTAAATGAAAAATGTACTGTGTGATTGGCTTTCGGCCCTTTGTATTAAACTATGCATACATACATGATGCTGTTTAAGCAACTTAATTATAATTGGTTTATAAACATTATTTTAAACATTATGTACTGAATATAATTCAAATTTTGATAATATTTAAGTAAAAAATTAGAATTTAGTTTTTCATCCATTTTGACAGCCCTAGTCCTCGATAGGCATTTTTCTTTCACCTGCAAACCCATTTCTCAATCGTGTGCAGCCGTGGTACACCCGAGCGGATGCGTGACTATGAAACTAGTGTGTCTTTTCCTCCTGTGGTGGTGTTTTGTAAAAGGTCAGCGATTTGAAGGCGTCTTCTCGTGCGTCTCCTCGACATGCCCACTCAGCAAACGCGTGGGGTGAGATTTCTCCAGAGAGATTTGACAGCTGGAGCCGAAATAAACCCACTGTAAGACCGATTTAAAGAAAGGTACATCACAATCACAATTGATAATCTCTGTAATATCTCTGTCGTGTTTCAGAGACAGTAATATGGTTAGATAGAGCCTACTTCTCTCTCTAATACCCCAGTAATCTCACATGTGACGACTCTAGAGTCTCGAGAGATATTTCAGAGTCTCAAACTCGCTTTAAAATCCCACTTGTTTCTCTGTTTAATCAAAATGCTGACAAAAAGATCTCCTTTAGTCTCGAGAGATCTCAACAGTGTCTCATACTGTCAGTTTATTTCTTGGATGACTCAAATGTCTTCTCTTCTCTGTAATATTGTGTAGACAGCAGTGAGATTAAATGGGGGTCATATTTAAACATATTATTACAATGAAACATTATATTAGCATATTTATTAGAAAATGTTTCTATACTTTTATTTTACATTTTATTTTATATTATATAAGTGCTATAGAAAATAAAATTAACTTGACTATACTGTATAATTTACATTCTATTTTCTATGTATTTTACAATTATTTTACATATATTATTTATAATCTTATTATATTTATTTCACATTTTATGTTCAGTTTTATATGTATGCTTTATTATTTAACGTTTTAACTTTATTTGGCATTTTTATTTGTTATTATTTTAATTTTGGTTTATTATAGATTTTATGTTCTGTTTTATTTTACAGTTTGTTGTAGATTTTATTCTGTTTTATATGCATTTTTTATTAGCATTTTTATTTTACTTTTTTATTTATTATTTTTGTTATATTTTATGTTCTGTATTATATGCATTTTCTACTATTTAGCATTTTTATTTTACTTTTACTTTTATTA